ATCCACAGGGGTGGGAAGCCGATGTTAATGTTAATACACAAGGTTTATTATGAATACACGCAGGATAGTCATAAACGATTATACAAGCGATCATTCACACCTCAGGAAGATAGTTGGGGAGGGGAAGATGGAGCTGAATGCTGCCAAAGAGGAAAGAGGGCACTCTATGGGGCTCCTCGCGAGACGGGCAACTGCTACTCGTCTAGTGGGAGGGGGTAGAGCTGGGGACTCTCACCAGATATAACTAATCTGCCCCCTCAGCTACGAGGACACAGCCCACTCATATCATCCTTGATCGCACTCGAGGTGCCCACGCCCACGAATTCAAACAAGGTCCGTCACAGTTGTCAAATACCTGTGTTCCTAATTTTTATGGAGTAGTGTTAAGTCTAATAGAGGCTTCTTTCTCGTTGATGAACGTTCACCCGACCGCTAACGGAATTCATCTGTCCCGCTCGGCCTTGGGCCTTGACAGAGGCCCTGGCAGCCGTAGCAGCTCTGTCGAGGTCCTAGGTAGAGCGGGACAGATGAGTTCCGTTAGCGGTTGGACGAACGTTCATCAACGAATTTCAATACCCCTCAACTTCAATCGGCAAGACAATGAGCTCGTGGCTCAATTGTTGGGGCGTTTGACTCTGATCAAAAGAGGTCGCCAGTTCGAGGCTCCGGTGGGACACCACTTGGGTCTGAGTATGACTGACTGAGGACGGTCATTCCAGTCTCCCTAGTGTTTGTCGGCAGTACTGTCTGCCTAGGACTATCAGAAGCTTCTTAGTTGTGCTTTCAAGAGTTGAATGGCTTTCCTGTATATTTTCAGATTTTCTTCCTGCGCAAGTATTCGACTCACAAGTTCGAAGTTGACGACTCGGCCTACATTTGCAGTCTGTCCCCGGACACCGTGGTTTACAAGGTGAGTAAATTTAGAGGTGTGTCGCCCGCATGAAAACCGCGACTAGCCTAATAACTTACTACCGCGGTCTGCCAGCGGCAGCAGCAGCAGCGAAAATATTTTTAGACAAAAAAGAAACATTGCGTGTCCGCAGCAGACACGCCATTTCGGTTATCGAGATGTGTTGGAGTTGGGCCGTGGTAATTAACGACCGCCATTTTGAGGAAATTAAGGCTTTGCTGGTTTGAATCCTTGAATATCCTTTTTGTAGCATAAACCCTTTTTAAATGCAGTCGTTATATGGCACGCAGCGTTAGGCTATGTCGGTTTTAGCCTATATAAGTCACAAAGTATGCCTAAGAAGAAGCAAGTGTATTCGCCTGGTGTGGCGAAATCCGTCGCGGATCCAGCCTCAGAGCTAATAGCAGAGATGAATAATTCATAAACAGGGAATTGCAGTGTATATACCCGTTCCTGCTATTGTCTCTGAGGATGTATCCTCGACAGACTTTGACACACCTGGCGAATACACTTCTTGTCCCAAGGATCATGTCTGCCTCTTCTGAATTACCTCCTGGGACTCAGATTTTCCCGTTTATTGGTAAATGTGCCTAAATTGACGAATAATCTGTAACCAGTTCGAACGCATCTACCAAACCTCCAAACCACTAAAGAACCACCTCCAGTTAAGTAAAAACGCTAAAATAATTATTTTAAGTACTGTGTCGCTGCTAAAAATTGTAATTATCCCAAGGAAAGTGGAATGACCAAAGATGTGAATATCCATGTCAAGTAAGTAGACACAAGGCTCCTTTGTTTTTGTTTGTATAGTTATTTGCATATGCATTTATGTACTCTCTAGGTAGGTTTATATCGACAGAGGCACAGAAAAACGGGATGACTATCCCTGTCTTTTCAACCGTTGTCAATCAGTCGTACCCTGTCTGCAATATATGCAATTGCTTTTACGGCTGTTTAACAGTTTTTTGGCAAATTTTATAGCAAGTTTGCAAAAAAATAGTGCTTTTGCATTTTTTTCCACCTCATTTTTGATCTGTCTGCTTTTATACATATTTTCACATATTTAAACCGTGTGAAATATATACCGCTTGAGAACGGTATAATCTTGCTTTAGAAGCCGCCACGAAATGACACGTGAGGGCTCCTGAAGTATTGACATTTGTCTAAAAAATCTCACAAACAGGACTT